TGGTAGGCTTCTCATAACTTTTCTCACCTGATCTTCTACAGTAATATCTTTTCCAAGTGCTGAGAGCTCATTGATAATATTAGTAAAACGTGTAATCATATCCCTAATTGATTCTTTAGGCTTCATCACGAATAATTCGTAATTACGCATAAATATGTCAATTTTGGATCTTTTTACACGCGAGGTACCTTCATGCGTAATCTCAAGTAGATCCCACATTTGTTTTGCGGATTTGCATCCAAGAAGACGGTTGTGCTCAGCCGGACCAAGTCCACAAATCAAATATTTCAATGCTTGAGCATTATGCTCGAGTTTACAATAATCATCAGAGGTATATTCAGATTTGGGTTTAGGGATAACCATACCTTCAGCATCTTCTTTTGTAATGATGTTATCGCCTACTTCAATTACGTTCCATACCTGGTAGTTCTCAGCCTTGATGAAGTTCTCCATTCGACTCTTCCGGAATTGATAAAATTTGTCGTTGAACAACGGTGGTCGTTGAGTCGAGTATCCTTCCTCCAATCGTTCAACCGTATTCATGCTGCCGGATCTCTTCCCAAGGTTTTAACCTTTCTGTGGTGAAGACCGGCTCTGATACCAATTGATGAAACGGTTAGCAACACAAGAGGGGGGGGGGGTGAATTGTGTGTGTGTGTGGAACCATGGCAGTTTTTCGCACAGTTCTAGTGTGGGGTCCAGGGAATTACGAAATAGTAAAGTGCACAAGAATTTAACGAGGAAAAATCCCTTGGCTCAAAGGGATTAAAAAACCTCGACCTCCCTCGGAGGAATTTGAACAACTCCACTAAAAAGCCTTTGAATGATTACAAGGGAAACTCTCCTAGTCTACCCTTGAGCCACCCCAACTCTTTCCTCTCTAGGAAGAGTTATGCAACTCTACCTTGCGGGTAGAGAGCCTCTCAGCTTTACAACAAAGCTCTCACAACACACTAACCAACCCAAGGATGCTACACTTAGCCAATCCTCAAAAACCCAATTACAATATGAAGAAGGGAAAAAGAAACTCTGTCTGGAACTCCGTTAGCAGGTTCAGGTGCCTTGGACTTAGTGAATATTCTCGTATATATTTCTCAATAGAAGCTTGGTCAAGCACACATTTTTCGTCTGGTCTTCAGTCCAATATATATAGCATCCGTAGCCTCTCCTTTCCTTTTATTCAAAAGATCTTCCGGCTCTCAATTATGGTGATCCTCGGTCAACCATATATATGGAAGTATATTATGAGTAATTCACTCAATAACAAACAGATATGGAGAATATTACGTATCACATATAAGGAGAATATTTTATTCTCCTAATATAAGCAGCCAACGAACATTATGTAGCAACAACATATTTATATAATTAATGATTAGTCCTTTTTAACAAGTTTGAATATGTAACGATCATATAAGTAAGATATTCAAATAAGATGCTACAGATCATGCAACCCAAGATACTTTCCAAAATTTATGACTTCTTAACATTTAAGTGATGAAAAAATATTTACTCAGTGGATCTAAATATGCTACGGTCAATTTGTGCAGGATATTTACGAAGCATAAATAATGATTCTTTCCATAAGCTATATAGGCCAACTCATAGAGGTGAGTGCTTAGTCGTATACGGAAAGATATATAAATTGTGCCACGTATACTAGGAATATGCATGATCAATCTAGGCATGTAGATGAGGTATTATCATGCAGATACATATTAATTTATTCATTATGCACAACAATAAGTCATATAGATCAGAACTAAGTATAGTTCCAATTCCCGTTCCTAATGGAGCTGAGAGCAGTTCTGTCCGCCATTCTACCTACATGGTTAGTCATCAACAAAACAACATATTCAACATTATCGCTCTCGTGGCGTAGAGTCTTGGCTTCACATGTCACTTCTAACCCGACCGGGTTGTGTTCCATCCTGACCAGGTTTGATACCAGAATTTATTTTCACGTTTCATCTTGCCTTCCTTTGGTACCTATAATATTACCTTGCATCCCTTATGGTACTTACAACAAAATACACCATAAAAATACAAATTACAACCTACAAATAAATCTAGAGAGGACATCACAAACTAAACTAAACTATTAAAAACAATAATCAAACAATACTTAAACAACAAACTTATGCACTAGGAAATAGTGCATATGAGGTACCTCAACAACCATTTCAGGGCATTCCAGCGTGACATCCCACAGTTGGCCATCAGATACATGGACGACCTATTCCACTGGAATAGGGGACATATTTCATCCTATCAATTTCAGGATCAGTCTTTGGAGACTGGTCCCTATTTAAAACAAAACGAAAACCCAAAGGAACATTGACATGAGTGGCAGAGTTCATACTAATTTTACACAAGACTTTCTCAAGATAAGAAACTTGATTCAAAGTGAGGGAACACCTACTTCTAACCCTAATGATATTAATAATGCCTAAGATTATTTTTGCATCACAATGATCTTTCATAGCAAGATTCTCAGTGAGGCATTTTTAACATGTTTAATAGCACTTAGGGAAGGACTTATAAGCAACATATCATCAACATAGATTAACAAGAAGATAGGAACAGAAGTAGTGATCAAAATCAGATTTCTTGAAATTTAAAGATGACATGCATTGATCAAACTTACTGTTTAAGATCATAGAGGGCCTTCCTAAGAAGACATACATGCTCACTTTTTTTGGGGTCCACAAACCCCTCGGTTGGGTCATAAAAATCTTCTTATCAAGGTCACCATGCAGAAATATAGTGGTGACATCCATCTACTTCATTTCTCGGTTATTGTGAGAAACTAGAACAAGCATCATCCTAGTAGTAGTGAACTTAAGTACAAGATTAAATATTTCAGCATAACTGTATAGTCAATGTCCTCTTTTTGGGTGAAACCATTAGCAACTAACCTAGATTTGAACCTAATATTATTTGGTTTTTCTTTAACCTTAAAGAGCCATTTGCATTCTACTACAGAACTATCAGGTGGCGTAGGTACAAAAATCCAGGTTTTATTCACTCAACGTGACTTTATTTCACTTTACATAGCACTAAGCCATTTCTGGGATTCTTTTGATGCCAGGGCTTCCTTATATGACTGAGGTTCATTCAAGTCCAGGACTTCAAAAACACAAAAGGCAAATACGGAAGTATCAAACACATGAAAAGCATAGTCAGGCATGTTATCAGAAATCTTCCTAATGGTTCTTCTAGTTCTATCCCTATTCCCTAGCCAATTGATAGTCATTCAGACTCTCATGTATGATCAATATTAATCTCCTGCAGTTCACTATTACCAGTCCAATCAGTATCAATATTTACTTCATGAAGACCTTCATTATTTTGAGACTCATGTTGTTGGTCCTGCACCTCATTAAGGGTGGGGGAACTTTCCTCTTCAGTGTGAGGGGACTCCTAGCATATCAGAATTATCAAGCAAAGAGCTAGCAGGAAATAAGATGGGCTCCACCTCACCGGGAGACTTACTCGACTCAGGCTCAGGATTGGGAACAGGTTGGACCAAACAGGGGAAGTCAAACTCATTAAAAACTACATTCCTACTAATAATGACCTTAAAACCAATCTGGTTTCTATCCTATCTCCTATATCCTTTTACTCCTTTAGGATAACCTAGGAAGACACACTTCTTAGACCTAGGTTCAAGCTAATGGTCTCAATCTCGTCTACATGTAATAAAACATTTTTCATGTATGATGTATCCAAAGTAAACAAACAAGAGAGAGAGCTGTATACATGATATTATTGTAGACCAGAGCAGTGGCGGATCCAAGAAAAGAATCTATTAAGGGTGGAAAACTGAGTAAAGTACATCTAGAAAAATTGTTGTGTAACAAAGTATATTAGGTAGCAAAAAAAGTAATCAAGCGCATGATAAATGTCCCCATATTAATAAGGTATATTACACTATCAGAAGCCTTGATAATGTTGTTCATGACTACTTTGTGTGAGTTTTCATCCCTTTGACAAGGATGATAATCATAAATATAGTCCCTGAGTCCCAAATTGTAAGATACATTTACTATTCACTTGGTCAACATAAATCACTCTTAATCTTTTACTTTATATATCAAAAGTTTATGAAATTTGAATTATTTTTTGCAGGTTTTGTAGCGATGTTGTAAGTAGTATAGTCTTTATATACTTGAAATCTTTATTTAATAATCTAAAAAGACCAATAGTTATTGTATTTGCTAACTATATAAATAATATTTTAGCCTTAAAATGCTAAAAGTGGAAGTTTAATTATAAAACAATTGATTGAATGGTTAATTTCAATTATAATTTAGCTAATTTAGTTATGGTATAGTTAAATTCAATTGTTAGTATATATTTAGAGGTTGGAAGAGAAAAATACAATTGTTAGTGCTAACTGCAAAAGAATATAAGTTTTAGCATATATAAATGTCGCATTATTATATATCTAATTTTAAATTTCAGATTATTAATTTATTCTACCCCACTAAATTAATTCGAAAATTAGTTTCATCCCGTTTAACTCTTCCGCTATAAGGATACACAACGGGCAAATATGGTATCATTCTCTTTGTTTAAATTGAGTCACTCAATTATTTATAGGGGCAAATAGTTTTTTTAATTGGGGGCAAATTTATAATCTTGTGAATTTTTCTAATGGGGCAGCTGCCCCGTACAAAGGTAATAAAATTAAAATTTTATCGGGGCAGCTGCCCCGTACCCACTATGTGTATCCGACCGAGACACACATATATGTGTGTGGGGACTGGGGACTGGGGACTGGGAGATTAAAAGTTTTTAAAGCATAAGCATAATCTATCAGTATTACAGAGTATGTTATTCCATGCTCTCTCCAATCTCCATATTACGTAGTCATCAAATCAAAGTATAATATTGGTTGCAAAGTACGTATAACGTAATGCAGTCATTAATGTTGCACGGAAACAGAAAACTAGAAAGGTCATCTTTTACTCGAAAAATAATTGTTTGAAGAGTTTCGGTGCTACAGGTAGTCATAAAAAATAAAACAAGATCCTAATTAACAAACTTATTAATTGTAGTGCTAGTGATTTTTTTAATCAAAAGCCGCAATTGCACTAGCTAAAAAGCTAAGGCTTCATCTAAAAGTAGTCGGAGTGGGAGTCAAGGGGCGGCAGAATCAAGCAAGTATGGAACCACATACTGCTGCATTTCGGGAATGGTTATTTCCAAGTGATTTCCAGGCACCTTGATGAACTTCACTTTTCCTGCTTCATCTAATGTTCTCAACCCGAATAAATCCTCTTTGTAAGCATTTGTCTGTTCAACCCATCGAAAACATATTTTACAACTCCATCAATACCAATAATGATCGATCTCAGTTAAGGTGCTCAGTGTTATGAACAATCTTAGTGCATGCGGCGCGCAATTAGATGGCACGTGCATATATATATATAAGGGGAAAAATAAATGTGGTTCTTGAACGGTCTCTTACACCACTTTTTGATACTCCTTCCTCCCAAAAAGACTTCTCAAATTGACCTTCATTAATCATAGTCAAATTTGACCAATAATGTTTTTTAATACAGAATTATTTTGAATATGAAATCATATTAAAATGTTCCTCACTATAAATATTTTCATATAATTAAGCAAAAACTGTTTAAATTATATACAAAAGTGATAGTTAAAATCATTATCCAAAACAATAAATGAATATATGAAACTCAAGACTATTATTACTAATATAAAAGGTTTACCTTTGAGAATGAAAGTATGATTCTTGATTTGGTATGAGAACAAAGTTAATTAAGTTGGGGATACATTATTTATTTGGCCCATTTATTCACCTTAGTTTTATTTGTTTGGCTCGGTGTGGGATGAAGCTTGTGTTTAAATATTTGTGTTAGATAGTTGAACCACCATCGGATAATAAAATATCAAGTCAATATATAAAATCTTGGCCTACTTCTACTTTGCAAAACTTATTTCGGGTTAGAGTGTAGGATTTATGCAAAATTTAGGGTTTTATGACTAAATTTTGTACTCCTATATCAAATTTCTCTATGAGGTTTGTGATGGTGGACTGATGATAATTAAAGCAAACTCCTTTCATAGGAAATATATGCTACATATTATGTTTAATAATTAATGGGGGTATCCTGAGTATAGAATTTGAAGGATATTCAAGGATATAGAGAGTATTATAGTTTATTGGTTTAAAAAAGGAATTCATTAATTTTGTCCTTTTCCCGTAATTAAATTTTTGACACCATTAAGAATCAGAACATAAGTGGCCTTATTTATATAAGAATATATGTAGTGCTATTTTAGCTTAGAAAATGCATAGAAATCCGCAATTTAAGAGAACCGATAAAATTCTAAATCGAGGATCCTTGGAGTTCAACAAAATTTAAAATTCACGAAATTCCATATCAAGCGCATCCTCTTGAAACTACACTACATTATGCTAATTAATAAAGTCGGATAGAATACTTGAAAAAGTTAAACCATTTCTAATAAATTAAAGAGAAAATTGGGTGTATATACACCTTTTAGTATCTACATTGAATTGAAGTTAAAGTTATGCACTTAAAAAAAAATACATAATCATTTATTGTACTTTACTGAAATTTTGTGTCACTATAACAATTTTTATGCATATCAATTATCTTTCCATGAGCAAACTCTATATAAATGTGCTAATTTTTTTATTAAATATAAATAGTAGCTATCAACTTAATAAATGGAGTCCAATTTCTTTGGTTATATAGCCGTGTACCTTTGTCACCATAAAATAAGATATTAAAATAGAGTTAAGTTGAACGTATAAATAAGACTAAAATGTTTCCAATATTACTAAAGACATATTTTTTGTCAATATATATATATATATATATATATATATATATATATATATATATATATATATATATATATATATATATATATATATATATATATATATATATATATATATATATGACTACATATGATTTTTTCTTAAAATGATGGACAATATGACGTATTACTCTTGAAAGTTGCTATCATTAATGAACCATGTCCCGTGTCTTAGATGATATTTGTAGTCATTTGCACATCCAAAAGCATATTCGGATAGATGATCATATATTTGGAAAATGATATATTTGGAAAATACATATGTTTTAGTAATATTTAGGTATTTTTCTCTAAAAGTAATTAAATACTCCCTACGGTTCACATTCTTCTTTACACTTTGACTTTCACAAAGATTAAGGAAATAAATTTGACTTTACTGTAGTTGACACTGTTTGGTATAGATTTGTAAGGCAAATAAGGAAGTGTAAAGTTTATTGTGGTACTGATAAAAAAGGAAATTGTAAAGAAGAATGTGAACAGTAGGGAGTACTATGCAGTAAATGAGAACTTGAAATGTGGACGAGGGAGTAATTATTTAAAAGTAAAATTAAATTCCATACTAGGTATGCATGAGTGTGTGGCAGCAATTATACATTCAGAATTTGTTCGCAATTTGGATATGTACAAGAAAGATCGCGTATGTACAATGGCAGAGTCAGAAAAACGACCCGGGGTCGAAATTTAGCTATATACAACATTAAAAGGGTGGATCATTTTTAAAAAATACCCGAGTTAAATGTTTCATACTACCTTCTTCCCTTTTTATTTAGACATCTTTGACTTTTCCAATAAAAAATGGTAAACTTTGATCCATCATTTTAAAAAATATAATTAGGTGAAACTTAATAAATTTATACATATATGATAGAATTTTTAACAAAGAATACTTTCATATCATTTTCATATTATCAATACTGCTACTATATATAGAAACAATCAGAGTTGAATATCATTGACTTGAAAAGTCAAATATGACTAAAAAATAGACGGAGGGAGTATGTAGTTTAGTTAAAGTAGTTTAAACGAGAGTAGTATAGTTTTAGATTTGATGTATGTCATACAAAGTGCATGCTCCGTATTATATATTAAAAATTTCACGAAAGTAATGAGTGAATTAGACGTTGTTTTAAAATTTGGGAGTATAATCAATATTATGCATCAAATATTACTCATTTCAAGTTTAAATAGTGCTATCATCTACGTAGAAGAATGCCTATATGGCTATATGTGGTATGTATTAATTACCTGCTGTGGAGGCAAGACGTTGGAGAGGTCTCCGTCAGGATAGTATCCGAACCATGAACTCAGAGTTGGGTTGACAATATCATCGGTTTCGAACTACAAAAAGGTGAAACAAAAGTTCAATTATCCCAAGCTAGCTATATACGATCGAGTATATAATATATAGTAATACATATATAAAAGCAAGAAAGAAAAGAAATACTGCATTGTACTGTGGTATTTGCGTGACAAACCATTATGAGAACCAAATTTTGCAGGCTAATGAATCTCTGCTTGTGAAGGGTATTATTCGCTCCCGGAATTTCGTTATTGATTATTGGTAAAAACCTGCAACCTTCCAAATATCCAGGAATATCCTAGCGGATAGTACGTAAAGCCATGAGTCGGCGGGTCAGTATTAGTAACGTATATATAAAACCTAGCTAGCTAGCTAGATATGCATTATATATATTATCAGGACTTGTTTATAATCATCAACTCATCAAGTATGATAGATAATTAGCTAGGTACGTAGTACTTCCTCTCTCCTAAATTGAATTGCAATTTGTAGATTTTAAAATTGATTGATGATAAAACTAAACTTCCTTAGTTTTTATAATACTTTTAAGATTTACGTATTTTGAAACTACATTAAAAGAATAAGGGTTTTATAAACAAGTAGCTAGATCAAAGTCAAACATATAGATAGTGTTCAGAAAAAGATGATTTTGAAAATCATTTTGGGAGCTAGTATAAAATACCGGCCATATATATGTTTAGTGTAAGTTCGAGATTTTTTTTGCTTACATTTGGAAGTTTCGTATAGCCGCTAGGAGCCAAGTGAGTCTGCATTTGAAGCAGGCATGTAAAGTATTAGAGATCTATATATATATATATATATAAAAGGGTAGTATACGTACGTAGTGTGGTGAATTGAAATAACCAATTCGATTAATGGCCAAGGAGATGATGATTAATTACTTGGACGTAGTCGGAGTAGACTCCCATTCCAGATACAGAACTTATACCGTCACACCAAGCCTCATTCTGCATGCATTATTATATTATTTACAGTATATACGTCCGTCCGTTAATATGCATATATACACAAAGTCATCATCAAGCAATATAATATGTACATACATATGTACATACTTTAGAGAAAAGTACCAATGGTTCACATGTCTAGAAATTACTCCAAATAGGATTAAAACTATGACAAAAACTTAAAATAGGACTAGGTATGTTTTTCTTTTCAAAATAGGACCATATTAGTCATATCGGAAACATACCTATTTTTTCATTCCATTCTTACACTTCTTTTAAATATGAGTTAATTAAATATTTAATTCATAATAAATTCGAAAAAAAATCAAAAAAACGTAGAAAAATAATTAAAAAAAATTATCAAATAAAAAATTAATTTTTTAATTTTTAATTTATTTTAAAAATTAAAAAAAAAATAATAAACTCCATAAAAAAATTAAAAAAATATGGATGCCGTTCCCACCGCCTGTACTACCTCCCTGCACCACCATCTTCGTCCGGTGAAAAAAATGTCAATTTTCCTAAAAACTGACATTTTTATGAAAATGCCAAAAACATGGCATATTTCTCTTTGAGAATGCCAACATTTTCATTGTTTTCTGCCATAAATATGGCATTCCTATTGAACTTGGCATTTTTTCCCTGGTGATTGGAGGTGGTGGTGCAGAGGCGGCGGTGAATTTTATTTTATTTTTTGAGTTTTTTTTTTGTTTTTTTTATTTTTTTTTAATTTTTGTATTTTTTGAAAAAAAATATAAATAAACTATTATTATTGAAATTTTTTATTAAGTTTTTAGTATTTTTTACGAATTTTTATTGTTTTTTATTATTTTATGATGAATTAAAACATTTCGATAGCTATAAGGGTATATTTGTCCAAGACACATATAATTAATCCAATGAAAACATAGTTTTTTTTTATTCTATATATTTCTGCAAAGACTTTTAGTCCTATTTTGACAATTAACCTTCGAATGTATAAGGACGATGTAGGTATGAGCTATAATGAGCTGAAGCTCAAGATAGCTTTTTTTTTTAATTATCTAATGTAAAATATTTCATTTTTCATATTAAGTTCACTCCACTTATATTTAGGTCTAGTTTTTGAACCCATGACATCACAAATTCCTGGATCCACTCCTCTCTCTATATGTCTAAAATGAGGCAGGGTCTGTTATTTTTACCAGTCAAGCAGATGGGTCTATCGTCTATGGTATTCAGTCAAATATGTGTCACATCAACAAGATCGATTAACTTAGCTAGTGTACGTGTGTAGACTCCTCGTATACTAACGACACAATATAATACCGAAAACTCCATTTTGACTGAAAATAAAGAATACACCCCTAAATATTAATAATGTGCACAATTATATAAAGGTACCATACCTTTGTCCACATGGATCAATGAAAATGTAGCAGTTGAATTATTTAAATCTAAATTAAAAATGATATAGTAATGTGGTCCAATCAAATGAATGATAGGTACGGTACTCAATTTTTTAGAAAGGTACCGGAGTTGTCACCTTATATATATGCCTGCATGTTACTTTTAAGATTTTCCCCAATTTTAATACATAGGCTAGTTTTCTTCTTATAATCAAATATTACCGTAGACTTTAGTCCACCACGTACTAAGAAAATAATACACCAAGCATATTGGAATTGCTTACACTGCAAGCAGGAACTGAAGCAACACCGGCATTAGGACCGCCTACTGATATGAAATTCTTCACCTGTTTCAATATATAAATACCCAACCAACTAATTACTTACTACTTTACGCTTAAATTAAATATATATATATATACACATATATAAATATTTAATACCTTTTAAGTATATTTAATATTTAATACGTTTTAATTATATTTAATATTTAATACCTTTTAAGTATACGAAGTCCATTTAAAATAGAGGAATTTGTTGGTTTTCTAGTATGTACGTCCATTGTTTGTTTTAATTAAGTTATTCACTTACCTTGCACATCAGTGTATCACATCCATATCATTTATAATTTGGTCTACGCTAAGGATTTTTACTGGAAACTATCAAAACTGACCAGAAAAGTCTATATATATTAGTCATTATTCATATGATATGTCACTAATTAAATACACACGCGCATATACATATATTTTACGAAGAAAATAATTATTACTTGTGGTACATTGTCACACAACTCAATCACGCCTCGTCCTATTATATTTCCCTGCAAATTAAAAAGGAAAAGGGAAATCCTAATTATTGGATTGAAGTAAAGTTAAATATAAATCAATAAGACTTGTTGCTGAACAATAGAGAGACCTGGGAGAGACCAACTAGATTGTAACCTTGTTGAAGTTCTGGCATTCCCCTAATCTGTGCATTTCTCAATGGAGAAATTTAACAATTTCGATCAGGACAAATAAAAATAATAATGTTAATAAAATTTTCAAAATGGGAATAAACTTGCATGTGAATGCATTAATTAATTATATATATATATATATATATATATATATATATATATATATCACCTTGGCACAAACAGTTTCAACCTGCGGGAAAGCGCGCAAGTGAAAAGATTAATTTTTTTATGAAGATTATTTTAAGCATTCAAATTTAAGAACGCTACAAATCCAATAAATAAATGAGAAAATTAACCCACATATGACTAAAATTTAATGTGTTTCCCAAAATATGACTTCTATCTTTTTTCTTCCCAATATGATAGTGTTTCGTATGTATAAAACTAATATTTAATCATATTTTGGGATGTACAAAAGTAGTAGTCATATATTCTGAAATTGTCAATGTTTTAGTCATATATTAGTAAATATCCCTAAATAAATAGAACAATGTTGTTTTGCTCTTACTTGTTGTTCTAAGGGTATGCTCCACGAATCATAAGCACCACCTCCAATTTCACTTCAAAACGATTTAATTCGAACTTATTATCCTTGATATTTCTAATGCTAATAATAAAGATATACTCCTCAGTAGTACAAAGAGGTGCCCAATAATAAACTTTTTTAGTTTTCGCCACCACAAGATATTCATTATATTTTTGACTTGAGGCCGGCTTGAGTGTAGATTTGGTCCTTTGGTTAATTAATCTATTTAATTGGAGTCCCGTTCTTGGACCTATGCCAAGTGTATGTCCATATGAGATGCTTAGCATATTATTTAGAGTGAATTGAATTAGACTAAATTGTTTTGTATGAGTCCATTAATCTAACATTAATTTCATTCTTTTATAATAGTAACATTTAGACTTCAATTAATGAATCATTCACAAATTTAGATGGCTTTATTTAAATTGGGAAAATGCATAATATATATGATGTGTACAGGGCGGAGGTATGCCCATAGTCAAGGGGGTTAGGGGGCATCCCCCACCCACCCCCGGCTTTTTTTGTAATACTACCTCCGTCTCAAAAAGTTTGCCATATTGACTTTTCTTGGTCAATGATGACAAACTTTAAGCAATGATTTTAATTATCATATTTGTATATAATTTTAAAAATTATAGTTTTAGGAAATTATTTTAAATAAGGAACCTTGTGGTATAATTTTAATATTCTAAATAATTTCGTATTAAAAATTATCATTGATCAAAGTTGATTAGGATTAACCAAGAAAAGTGAATTTGGCGAACCTTTTCGGAACGGAGGGAGTAGTATATTAATTATCATATTTGGCCTCCCCAAATACTACTCCCTCCGGTTCTTATTTAAATTCTTAATTTGACTTCACACATATTAAGAAAATGAATTTGACTTTACTGTGGAGTGCACTGTTTGGCACTGTTTGACACTGTTTTGACACTGTTTGACACTGTTTTTCACTGTTTTGTTTCCTAAAATGGAAGTGTGAACTTAATTAAGGGACATCCCAAAAAGGAAAGTGATAACTTTAATAAGAACCGGAGGGAGTAGATAATACTCCATATTATGCAAGGTTAGGGAAGAAAATCATGCGCTTGCTGTGTGACTAGTTTTACACAAATACTTAACTTTTAATTTTACACACAAAAAGGTGTAATACTCAAAACAAGTAAAGTTGTAGTTACTTTTAAGACTTATTAACTGAGGTTACGTAGATGATCATTTTAGTTAACTTTACACATAATTTTTTCATTATTTTGTTAAAAAACTATATTTTAAATATAATTTTTCATAATTCATCTGATCAGTTCAGCCATTTCATTAAAATTTCATCACTTACAACATATTCACCTCACCTAATTCGGCCAATTTTAGTGCTGCTAAATGGCTATCATGTTACTATGTTATTTATATATTCTATATTTTAATACACATATTATATTCTGGTCCCCCTTAATTATATTAAAGTCTTGCTCCGCCTCTGAATGTGTAATACGTAGTATATACATTAAGGAGACTTAGACTTACACACATGGTCCGTTAATTCCAGCCAACATGCTTAGCGACGTCTGATAAAAAGTGCTTGCTTCATCATTGCATTGCATTCCGAGGCCTACCATCATTTATATATATAGCGTCTCATCAGTTTTTGTTTTTTTGGGGGGGGGAGAGAGAGAGAGAGAGAGGCATGCATATGCATATATATACAATTAAATTTGAAGGTTTTGCATTTTGACCATGTAGGATGATGAAAGGTGTAGCAGATGAAAGTGGAATGGAATACAACATAGCAAGTAGAAGCATAATTTGAACTGAGAATGAACATGTTGAGCAATAATAACGAGCCATGCTCAGCTCCTTTAATTTTTCTATTCCTAGCCTTTAGTTGGAGTGATAGATGTACATGTACATGGGGCAGATTAGATAGCTTTTATAGCCGACTTTACTTATACCTAGAGAAAATGAATCACAATAAATAGAATTTGCATCAATTAACTGATTTGATTAGATGAAGTTTTTTAATTTGAATCACCATAATGTCGTGTTTATTATAAGCGGAGTATCTATGAAGTAAAGTTAAGGGTTAATTATCAAAATAGGACTAAAAGTCACTCACTTTACACAAATAGGACCAAAAAATAAACTATGTTTTTATAGGACTAATTATGTGTGTCTTGGACAAATATACCCTTATAGCTATTGAAATGTTTTAATTCATACTAAAATAATAAAAAATAATAAAATTTCGTAAAAAATACTAAAAAATTAATAAAAATATTTCAATAATAATAATTTATTTATATTTTTTTTACAAAAAAAAAAACTAAAAAAATAAAAAAAAATCAAAAAAATAAAATAAAATTCACCGCCGCCTCTGCCGCCTCTGCACCACCACCTCCAGTCACCAGAGAAAAAATGCCAAGTTCATTAAGAATGCCATATTTATGGCAGAAAACAATGAAAATGTTGGCATTCTCAAAGAGAATTACGCCAAGTTTTAGGAAAAATGTCATTTTTTTCACCGGCCGGAGATGGTGGTGCAGGGAGGTAGTACACACGGTGGGAAAGGCATCCATATTTTTTTAAATTTTTTATGGAGTTTTACTATTTTTTAATAATTTTTTTAAAAAAAAAATATTTTTTTTTAATTTTTAATTTTATAAATTTTTAAATAATTTTTTGAATTTTTTTCGAATTTATTATGAATTAAATATTTAATTAACTCATATTTAAAGGAAGGGTAAGAATGGAATGAAATAATAGGTATGTTTCCAATACGATTAAAAATATGGTCCTATTTTGAAAAGAAAAACTAGTGAGTCCTATTTTGAGTTTTTGTCATGGTTTTAGTCCTATTTGGAGTAATTTCTATAAAGTTAATCTCACATCCCATTGCGTAACATTCTCATTCGAGCATTAAGTACTCATCTGCAGTTTATTTATCTTATTTCTGTAAACGGATTTGGGTTTCTAATAAATTCATGCATTCATAACTTAAATGAGAATTTGATAGTAACAGCTGACATTGTTTCTCCAGTTTTATAAGGAAAATTTGAATTGTTTCAAACATACTCGGTATTAATGACTACATCAATTTACATCATAGTTCATAAATTAATGGGATTTATCTTTGGCATAATTAATAACATGGTAATAAACAATGAAAAATATTACAAAATAAATTCTATTGATAAATATGAAGGCAACAATTTAATCTTCCTATTTATTTTTCACATACATATAGAAATTGAAAATTATATGATGGAGAATGTCTAGAGGAGATAGACAAATGTGTAAGAAACAATGTGAACTACAAATTTTTTACCAAACAAAGAAAAAATCATTTTGAAACAGATAAAAAAGAAAATTGAAAGAAAATTGGAATATATTATCTTATACTACGTATTATATAATAATAATTGTAGTATCAAATTTAGTATATAATATCAAATTTCATACGTCTACCGTTACGATACATATCTATAACGGTATGTTTGGTTCAGGGAATGTCATGATTTTACCACCGGAATGTCAGACTGCTGGGAATGTTAGATCGATGAGAATGTATCCAATTCATTCCCATTTGTGTTTGGTTAAGATTAGGAATGTGATATTAATTTACATGGTTGAAAGATATCTTATATTGCAGATATGGTGAATTATTTCAATGTCCTTTAAAGATATCTTAGAAAGTACTTCAACTTCTTTTCATAGATACATTATGACACTACCTAGCCCATCAAATTAAATATAGATAAAGAACTTATGAAAAAATGTTTAGTGATTCATTAACTTTTATATAATTTAAACAAGTTGAAAACTGAAAAAAGGTAATTTCTTATTTATTAATACTATACGAACTCAATAACAACCACATAATTTACTTTTGTTAATAAATACACCATTTTCTAGTGTCTCAATCTTGGGAGAGTGAGATCGAATAAAATTTTATTTTAGTACATAAAATTCGCTTCACATGTTGACTTGAATAACATACTTGATTTCAAAATTAAAGGTTTGTTCATAGTGTACTATTGTTGTTTCTTTTAGTTTAAAAATGAATGTTTTCAGTTGAATATTTTTTATGACTGACCAAATCAGAATTTAACACATTATATCGATCATACTTACACAAATCAGGTCGGACTTAAATAGAGCAGACCAAGCCTGAAATTATCCCAACTATTAATGATCTGCTTGACATAATTCAAATTATCAATTATTTCTAAATAATCCCAACTATTGAAAAATCTTCTCAAAATACTCATTATTAGCTCAAGTCATATTTTACCGGGCGTTGGATCGAGTTTGGTATTTTACTCATTATTAGTAATCTTCTCAAATTACTATTATAAGTATTATTGATATTATTATTATTGTTGTTATTGTTCTTATTCTTATTATTATATACCAATTTAGAAAGTTAAGATCAGATCAAAAACATTCAGATCAGATCAGAAACATTCAGATCAGACCAGACAGATTCAGATCAGATCAGAAACATTCAGATCAGACCAGACAGATTCAGATCAGATCAAAAACATTCAGATCAGACCAGACAGATTCAGATTAGATCAGGTCAGATCAGAAAGATTCAGATCAAATGATATCAGAAAGATTCAAATCAGATCAGATCAGATTAGAAAAATTCAGATCAGATCAGAACTTAAAAAATTCAGATCAGAAACATTCAGATCAGGTGAAGAGAACAGCTTCTAAGCCCGGCATCGGTGCTTGAGAAGCAACCGAGATGATTCGAGATGCATTTGAGAATGAATCGAGAGTTTTAGAGGTCACCGGGAGGTTTACGACGAAGTTTTGATGACAAAAGGCCTCTAAGAGTGGTACGGGATCAAATGAAGACGAATAGAGCTTGAAAACGGCGTTCAGGATGACCTTATGTCAATCATTCAAGCATATCTTTTTGCAGAAACATCCAAAGAACACGATTCAAGTTCCATATGAAAGCCAGATTCAAGGGCTACAAAATCATATGAAGACACCATTGCGAGAATCTGAGAGAAGAAAGGTGAAAACAGA